CGGCAGGCGGTGGTCAGAGGCTGTCTTAGAACAGCCCCTAAATAAAGGCATCACGATGCTGTGAGCATCTCTGAGCTCATGACCTACAGCTCCAAGGGGATGGATGTGGAGTGATAACCGTAGGAAACATTGAGCGCTCGCTTTTGGCCTATAAAGCCACCTGTATTTTTAGAATGGGGCTCTGGGTAGCCAGGCCCGACCTCCCTGCCTGCCTTGCAGGTCTGCTCGGCCTTTATTTTCAGTGTGGGTGCTGGTCTTGCCTGTAGGGGATGCAGTCCTGGCTCAGGTCCTTGAGGGCAGGACCACCCCATATTCATTTGTTGTAGCCACCAGAGAGCCAAACATGGTACTGGATGTGTGGTTGCTGCTTAGTACTTACTTTCCAGTCGGCTCGCACAGATGTTAAACATCAGTACCGGTTGGAAGAGACAGCTTAAATGTCTGCACAGGAAAACACTGTCCCTGGTTTAGTTTCTGCCCTTGTCCCTCCTGCCTGTGGTGCCCTCTGCCCCCCTTCTGTGCAGACCTCAGGACTTCGGCTGTGATCTTTGTAAATGGCTGTGAACAGCCTTGTTCTGAGAACATTTTACATTATTAAAGCTGGTTGGGGCAGGTATGGACAGAATGACAGTCATCTGCTACATGGAAGCTGTAGTTACTATTTCCTGCTTCCCCGTGCTTTGCTTACTTTAATCATTTATTTTAAAAACTAGAATGATTACCAGTTGTATTGCCTCCTTTGTTTTCTATACATTTGATTACTCCCTGTAGTTTTTTGATAACTAATTCAGAGCATGTTATGTTTTACCAGTGTACCATGGAAATTAATAGTATAGAAAAATAATACCCTGTAAAGTCATAAAACATTTCAAATGAAGACTTCAATACAACGTAGAAAACAGTATGGAATGGTGGTCGCTTGGCCGGTCGGCTTGCAGTTGGCTGGTCGTGGATGGCCTCACTTGCATAGTAGGTGGTTGGTTGGTTATCCACAGGAGCAATGGGGTTGGCTAGACTACATATCTCATCACCCAAGTTCAAACTTACTTGGAATACAGAGCCCTTAGCAAGAGCCCTTGCTTTTTCTCCGCTGTTTTCAGTATGCACCCTACACTCTAGGCCAGCCGTGGTCAAACTACGGCCCCGAGGGCTGAGCCCATTTGAAATGAATAAAACTATTGAAAAAAAAGACCGTACCCTTTTATGTAATGATGTTTACTTTGAATTTATATTAGTTCACACAAACACTCCATCCATGCTTTTGTTCCGGCCCTCCGGTCCAGTTTAAGAACCCATTGTGGCCCTCGAGTCAAAAAGTTTGCCCACCCCTGCTCTAGGCCCTCTTACTGTTTGTTGAATGTAGTCTTTTGCCTTCTCCCCTTCATCCTTGTGTCTTAAACACTCTGAAAACAAGACTGTCTTAGTCATCTGCATTCTTACTGGACAGCACAAAGAAGCGGAATGAATGCAGAGAGGGAGTTTCACCTCTGGGGACTATCTCCGATTATCTGTACCTACTCATCCTCTAATACTCACCAGTATGTGCATTCTAGTCCATGAAATCTATTTGATCTCTTAAACTGAGCAGTTTGTCGATGGTTTCTGGTACGGGTTTGTAAGAAATGTCAGAATAAAAATTTCTAGTGAAGCATGACAGTTAACCTACCAATTCTCTCTTTTCTTAAATGAACTCTTTCTCCAAATGTCTGAAGTAGCATAGAAAGGCTATGAATCACTTTTAGTGATATTCATAACATATAGGACAGTTTGGTTTCTTAGATTTACATACACATATGCGGGTAAACTTGAACTGATAATTGGTGAGAAGATAATGCAATCTGTTCTCTCAGCCCACCCATATTTATAATAGTACTAGAGGCCCAGTGCACAACATTTGTGCACTTGGGGTGGGGGGTCCCTCAGCCTAGCCTGTGCCCTTGCACAGTCTGGGAGCCCCCAGTGATCTTCAATGGATGGCAGCTGGTAGTCGGATACTTAGTGCTGCCACAGAGGCAAGAGAGGCTCCCGCCACTGCCGCTGTGCTCACCAGCCATGAGCCTGGCTTCTGGCTGAGCAGCGCTCCCCCTGTGGGAGTGCACTGACCACCTAGGGACAGCTCCTGTGTTGAGCGTCTCCCCCAGGTGGTCAGTGTGCATCATAGCTACTGGTTCTTCCACTGTTTGGTCAATTTGCATATTAGCCTTTTATTATATAGGATTGGTCTACAATTTTCAACTGGTGTGCCACAAAACATTTTAAAACATGCAGCTCCTGACTGTTTAGTCAGAGGCCTGAACCCTTCTCCCTTAGATTGTCTGATTAAAAAACAACAACAGCCAAAAGAGCAATAGCTGTCCTGTGTGAGTGAATCAGAATTATAGCCGTTTCTTTTGTCATATCAGCAAAAAATATAATATACCTTTTTGGTGTGTCACGGAAGTTTAGTAATTAGTTTATGTGTGCCATGAGATGAAAGAGGTTGAAAATCGCTGCTCTACAGAATGGGATGTTTTTCTAGGTCGAGGAAAGAAAGTTTTGTATTTTCATTTCTATTTTTAATTTAATAGTGCTTCGCAGAAAAGAAAGATAAAACACAAAGTTACAAAAGCCAGCACTTGCGTATGCATTTTCCTGCTTTCACCCCTCCTGTTTTCTTTTCTAACTTGCATTTTTGGACCCGCTAAGTGAATACTGATTAACTATGGCTATTCCCTCCTCCCCCTACCCCCTTTAACTTTTATATAAGTCACAGTGCAGAGTTTATGGAGCGTTGAAATACCATAATGCAATAAACTATGCAGTGTGTGGTGGAATGGGGAGGGGGAAAAAACAAAACAAAACAAGCCCCTTCTCATCTGGGCTTCAGGAAGGCTAAACTCTAAGCCTGGCTCTGATAATGACTTACCGGTGACCTTGAAACACTTTAACTTCTCCTTGGTTCAGACACCTGAGCGTCGGGTTTCTCTGCAGTTTGGAAATATTGTGCTGTTTCTATTAAGCACATGTCTCCCTGGGATTTAGTAACAAACATTACAGATGAGCACAGATGTTTAAAATGAAAGAAATGGATGCCCTTTTTAGACTATTTAATACCTACACGGTTAATAACATGTGTGAGGTATATAGCAAAGGTACACACTGGATTCATTTTTGAAGTGACTGTTTATCACAGTGGTGAGGGCGGGGCAGGGGTAGCAGGGTGGATTAGCAGGGTCCCAGAGGTGCAAATAGGTGTGGAAGGCAGAATGAATTCTACTGCTGAAACCAGGTGGTCAAAGCAAGCTGTTGCCCTTGTGAAGTGCCCATCGGCGATGACTCTTTGATGGGCACTTTGGGACAGTTGGATGGGACTCGTCCTGGTGACTTCCTGTCATTTTTGAACTACTTAAAACCACAATCAGAAGGGGTGGTAAACTTTTGATGGGGGAAAAAAAAGAAATGGACTTGAAAAGGTTTTGAAGGAATGGACATTAAACTCGTGCCAAAGCAACATTTTCACACCATGAAGCTTTGTGAAGCATTTTCCTCGAATTAGGGAAAACCTCAGAGTGTAACTTACGAAACAGTCTTTTATTGTTCTTATTCAAAAGAGAGCATTGCTTCATTGAAGTATGGGGAAGACAATGTGGATTTAGATTCTTAATGACTAGTTCAGAAAAAGAAATACTTCAAATTACATGAAAACACAAGCCCCTTACTGACAAATGTAGAGAAGCATTTTGAATAGCCTTTAATTGGTAGTTTTGTGAAAATAGGATATTAGAGAAAATCCAAAAGAGGGATAAAGTCTGCTCTTAAATATGGATTATTTGAAGTATTTCCGTGCAGAAGAACCACAGAAAGCTGGGCAGGGGGAAGGTTGGCCCTAGCCGTTGTCTTGCCACATGAGGCTGTACCTGACCTTCAGAGCGAATGTTGGAGCCGCTCAGCACCCACCTGTCCATCATCAACACAGGCTGGGGAGGGTGTTTCAGTGGCTGGGGCAGTGTTGTGTGTACGTTTTGTGAAGTACAAGAATAAATTTAATCAATTTTAATGGTCTTCTTGGTTCCATGTGTTCACAGTTTACCAGATAGTTGCCATAGTTCAGGAGAGAGATATAAATTCAATATTGTAGTTTGGTAGAAAAATCAAAGAAATAAGGGGAGGGGGTCTTAATTTTCTTCTTTTGTTGGAAATGAAATGATTGTTATTTGAGCAGCATTACCAGGAAAATCACATTTCTTTTATAATCTTCATTTTTGAGAGTAGACGATGCAAAGGTAATGAAGCATAGTCATATACATTATATTTTCCAATGGCCCTTTTCTTTTATACGTATTGATTTCAGAGAGGCAGGGAGAGGGAGAGAGAAACATTAATGATGAAAGAGAATCACTGATAGGCTGCCTCCTGCACACTTCCTACTGGGGGTCGAGCCCGCAACCCGAGCATCTGCCCTTGACTGGAATCAAACCCGGGATCCTTCAGTTCTCAGGCCAACGCTCTCTCCACTGAGCCAAACCAGTTCCAATGGCCGTTTTCACTAGTTACAGCAATTGCTTCTGTCAGTTCTCTGTTTTTAAATCCTCACCTGAGGATATGTGTTTTTTTAATATTGATTTTGAGAGAGGGAGAAATAGAGCCAGAGAGAGAGAGAGAGAGAGAGAGAGAGAGAGAGAAAAGACGGGTCCTGCCACAGTTGAAGGAGATATGGGTGAGGCTGAAATCCTGCATAATTTCATCTCGTGTTCTAAATACCTTTTTTGACAGTGCAGATTGAAACTACTAAACCAAAAAATGTAACTGATTTGAGTTTTTCACTTTCTTAATACTTCTGTAATATACCTATTGAGTTTAAGAGTTATTAAATGAAAATAACATAATTAATTGTTCTTTATTAATCATTCTTTTCCCTTGAGAATAAGTTAAGAGGTTTGCTCAGACTTACATACAGAGTGTGGTTATCTGAGGTTACAGTTTATTGTTGTGAGGACTAATGAACTGTTATCCTTTTATAGGTCTCATCACAACTACATCGAGGAAACTAGATCGAGAGCAGCAAGATGAGCACATATTAGAAGTAAGCATTTCTTTATTTTCAGTTATTTTGAAAATATAGTCATAAATATCATGGGAAAGAACATTCCTGTTCTCATTTACTAGTATTCATAGCTGTTAATATTGTTATATTAGTTTACTGTCATTAATAAAAAGGAATATAAAACATTGTGCATATATTTTATGCCTCCTTTATGTCCCTTTGTGTCCCCGGGATGCAAGACCACTGTCCTAAGTCCCATTCTAATGTTTGTACTTATTCAGGCACACAAAGAGAGTAAGCAAAACTGAAAACAATGATTTGAATTTGAATTTGAGTTTAAGTTTCATTTACATAAGTGGTTTTTTGTATGTCTTCTACATCTTTTTCTTCAGTATTATGCTTTTGGGATGTACTTATGTAAATAGATCGAATTCAACCTTTTAAACTGTAGTTAGCTTGTTTTCAGGTTTTTGTTTGTTTTCCATTTTAAACTGAATTATATAGAGTTTATGCCTTTTTGCCCTGGCCGGTGTGGCTCAGTTGTTAGAGCATCGTCTCCTATACCAAAGGATCCTGGGTTCCATTCCCTGTCAGGGCACATGCCTGGGTTTGTGAGTTCGATCTCCAGTAGGGGGTGTGTGAGAGGCAGCCGATCAATGATGTTTCTCTCTTTCATGGATGTTTCTTTTTAAAAAAATATATTTTATTGATTTTTTACAGAGAGAAAGGGAGAGAGATAGAGAGTTAGAAACATCCATGGGAGAGAAACATTGATCAGCTGCCTCCTGCCCATCTCCTACTGGGGATGTGCCCGCAACCCAGGTACATGCCCTTAACCGGAATCGAACCTGGGACCTTTCAGTCCGCAGCCCGACGCTCTATCCACTGAGCCAAACCGGTTTTGGCATGGATGTTTCTATCTCTCTATCCCTCTCCCTTCTTTTTCCTCTAAAAGTCAATAAAAGTATTTATAAAACAACAGCAGCAACAAAACTGTGTTACTGGCTATATGTTATTGAATCCAAGCTTAGGAACAGTTTGGTGATGAATACTATAAAGCATCGTTCTTGATTGTATTCCTCTTTAATTTTTCTTTTTTTCCCACATATCAACTGGTCACAGGGAAATGGTGTGAGACATTAAAATTGCAATAGGAATTTTTATTTTGTTTTATTTTGAGAGTTTGGGAAAGTAGGTCGTGTACTTGACAAATACCGTCAGGATCCATTCACAGTTTGTAAAATAACAGGATTTACACCTATCAAGCTTCAAACAGGAAATAGTTCCCTGGGAGACTTCAATCCACTTTCGTTTTTAGTATTTCAGTAATCAATTTGGGAAGATGTGTGAGGGGAGAATGACTGTTGCTAAGGTCATTACTTTTAATCTACACACTGAAGTAAAAACGGACATTTGATTAAAGGGCGAGATGGTTTCTTTTGCATCTAGAAGCACATGCCAGTGCATCCCCAGGAATCCTGATTTTTATCCCACACTGATGACATGAATAATTTACTCAGAATCAAAGCGACTTTACATTTCTTTTACTGAAATTTTTATTTCATAAAATGGCATTAAATTTAAATGTTTGTGGTTCACCCTACTAAACATGGAAAACTTCTGTGCAAGAGCCAAACAAAATAAAACGATGATTACTAGTATTAAAAGGCATGCTGCTTAGCACATATTTTAAATTGATGACTTAACTTATTTTATTGACGAAGCTTAAAAATGATAGTTTTTTTAATGGACTGTGTGGAGATTTTATTTTTAAGTATATGCAGTATCTATATAGTTTAAGAGGACTCTTTAGATACTTAAAGCAAAATCTTCATGTATCTCTTCCTTGGCTTAAAAATAATAAGTTTGATAGCTTAGCATTTTGGTGACATTCACAGTACGGTAACAGTTATGTGAGGGCTCTGGCCTGGTAGCTCAGTTGGTTAGAGCATCGTCCTGTTAACACTAAGTTTGCAGGGTCGATCCCCAGTCAGGGCACATACAGGAATCAACCAGTGAATGCATAAAGAAGTGGAACAACAAATGGATGAGTCTTTCTCTTTCTCTCTCCCTCTCTTGCTCTTTACAACCAGTTTTTAAAAAATGCTAGTGTGAGGAAGGGAGATGGCCTGGTCAGGAGAGGTTAGCGCTCACAGCCAGTTCTTTCTTAGCCCTTCCCTTCCCTGAGTTTCTGTCTGAAAATGGGAGAGGTTGTCCTGCCTCCTCACAGGGCTGTTGCTGGAACAAGAGGAGGTGGTTTGTGGTCAGAGCTGTGTGCACTGGAGAGGTTTCCACAGATGCTGATTCTCATTGGGAAGAAAGCAAACACTTTTATTTAGTGTCTTTTAAAAACATTGTTGATCTCTCACCTTTAAAAAATAGGTGACCGTGACAGACAATGGTAGTCCCCCCAGATCAACTGTCGCAAGAGTGATTGTGAAAATCCTTGATGAAAATGACAACAAACCTCAGTTCCTGCAAAAGTTCTACAAGATCAGACTCCCAGAGCGAGAAAAGCCGGACCGAGACCGGAACGCCAAGCGCGATCCCATCTACCGGGTGATCGCTGCCGACAAAGACGAAGGTCCCAACGCAGAAATCTCCTACAGCATCGAAGAGGGCAATGAGCACGGAAAATTTTTTATTGAGCCCAAAACCGGACTGGTGTCATCCAAGAAGTTTTCTGGAGCTGGAGAATACGATATTCTTTCAGTGAGTGAAGATCGAGTCTTTGAATGTCTTACAAACATTTATTATTAATCTAGTCTTTGGTCTCGTTCTCTTATAAGTTTATTCCGTAAATGGCCTCAGTAGGACAGTGGGAAGTATGGGTTTGTTTTCCTCTTTGCAGTTGTCACTCCAGTTATTATTGAGTGTGGCGTGAAGAGGATGCTTTCTGATCAAGCATTAAACACGTGGAATATTCAAAGACAGATATTAAATGTTTGAAATTGGCTCAGTCTAAGACCAACCCAATCCGTGCTTCAGTGATGGATGTTACTTCTAATAGTTTGCCGTTTTGATCCCCTCTGCTCATATAGATCAAGGCAGTGGACAATGGTCGCCCCCAGAAGTGGTCAACCACTCGCCTCCATATTGAATGGATCTCCAAACCCAAACCATCCCTGGAGCCAATTTCCTTTGAAGAATCGTTTTTCACCTTTACTGTCATGGAAAGCGACCCCGTTGCTCACATGATCGGAGTGATAGCTGTTGAGCCGCCTGGCACCCCTCTTTGGTTTGACATCATTGGTAAGCGTTCCTCATAGTTGTCATCGTCCTTGTCTAGGTTATAGGGTGGAGAACCTGTTTATGCTTTGCTGATTTTTGTGCATGTCTCAGAAATGTAAAATTGGGAATAAGACCAATTTGTTTTAAATTGCGGTATCTTGATTGCAAAGTTTGTCTCTGTACCCAACATATATTAAACTTGTTTAAAATAGGTGCTCTATGTGTACCATCTCAATATGAAAAATAAGGTTTTTAAAAGTACATCAAGGACTTATAGAGAAATCTAAGCATTTTGGTCCAAAAGTACAGTTTCTGATCCAAAAATATAGCTTTTTAATTTTTCCCTCTTGAAACATAGCATATGGCAGATTACCATTTTCACTGGATATGATTTAAATGTTTAAAATAACTATGTGTGGTTGTCACACATCAGTATTTTATAGAGAATAAGCTTAAAATTTTTAATTTTATAACTTAAAAACGATAGTGACAACCGTGACTTTTAAAGTTTTATTTACCTCATTTTCAGTAGAAAGCAAGATTCACTAGATTAAATTACATTCTTAAGCCAGTTTTTTTTTTGGTCATTTAATTCAGTGTAGTTATAGAATCTAATAACCTATTCCAACATACTTTTCAAAAGTTCACATTAGACTTTGACATGTTTTTATGATTTCTTCACACTATTTTAATGATAAGGATATTTAAGATCAGAAGCACGTATTACAATCGGGACTTCATGTCCCTTTTCCCTCGTCCACCTCTCAGCCACGATAGCCCCAGATGCTGTTTCAGCACGTCGAGCTGGTCGGCCATCGGCTGAGCGACACAGGTGCACTGTGTACAGCTTTTCCCCTTGAACTTGCACACTAGACAGTTAGGCTCTGTTCATCATGTTGGTCAATATATGAAATTGTGGATGTCATCAACACCTATGAACCCATTACAGGTTAGTTTTAAAGAAAAGAAATGAGATTGTGTTCATAGTCCACTGCAATCAGAACAGTTCGTTTGCTGTCTGTTAATTCCTATCCCGTTTCCAGATGAGCAGGCTGCTCCTGGGCAGCCTCTAACAGCACCGTGTCACCCCGCCTGCCTTTGGAACCGGTCTGATTGACGGCTCTGCCTTGTTCTCTGCTTTCTTCCATGCTTGCTTGCTTCTTTTTGGCTGTGCCAGGAGACACATTGGCTAGAGAAGTGTTTTACATCTTTCAGATGACTTGTGACCTGAACTGTACAGCAGAAGGTATCTGCTGAGATCACATAATTTGTCTCAGATTATGAGATCTGCAATAAAAGCATCATTTTTTTTTTTTTAGAACTTTTATTTCCAGGGCCTCCCTTTCATTGAGTTTTCTTTTCATAGTGTGCACGCGGTCATCCATTTTAATTGCAAACGTACCAACTTCTCATCCATCCCTAGATCCTTCGTTTTAACTGAAGACTTTGCTCTGTGTGTGTGTGTGTGTGCGTGTGCATGCTATTTTGCTTTTGGGTAAGATTTAGTAATAGAACTTCATTGTGATGTTAAGACATTTTCATTCCATTTCATTGATGTAAGTATCTCAAGTCCAATGGATTTGAAAAGAGTTTGTCAAGAATATATAATTGGCGTTGTATTTGGATAATGTAAGTAGCACAGAAACATTTGCTTCATTCTCTTTGACAACAGTGGAAAAAATTTCACATACTTCATATGAGTCATGGCTAACTCTTGATAACTATCGCTATTTTTTTCCAAGTCAACATTTTTTTTTAATAGGTATTTTATTAGGGCAATATGCCCAAAGTGTTACAGTTGTTGTTTTTTATAATTAAACTTTCAAATGGCCAACCTTGGTTACCAAATATCTTATATAGCTACTGCCACATAAATTAAAGAGATATTTAGAACCCCCGAAAAGTCAAATTGGCAGTCATTCATGGGCAATATTAGCAATGTTTTCCTCTTTTCAGAGTTGCTTTCTTGCTTCCTTTCGCTTAGTTGTTGCCTTGACAGTTGGGTCTCCACTCTGCGTTTCTAAAAGTGATGCCTTTGTCCTTGCCCTTCCTTGTTCTCAAAGTGAAAGCGCTAGGAATCACCTTGGCCAATATTGATTATATATCAGAAATTTTGTTTTACTGGCAGTAAGAATTAAAAAGCCACAAAATAGTCAGCAGGTTTTCATCCTGTTACCTGTTCTTACTTGTTTGTCCTAATTGAATCCAGGTGGCAACTATGAGAGTCACTTTGATGTGGACAAGGGCACGGGCACCATCATTGTTGCCAAACCTCTTGATGCGGAACAGAAATCAGACTACAACCTCACAGTCGAGGCGACAGATGGGACCAGCACGATACTGACTCAGGTTAGCGGAGGATGAGGGGGTGCTTGTCAGAGGAGGGTATGAGCAGTTCATTCTGCACCCCCCTCCCCCCCCACGCCCCGAGGTTCTCCGATCAGAAGTTACCTTGTTGCTGTAGTTAACACACGTGCACACCCAGGACTTTCATTTACTGAAATAAAATTAACTGCAAATCCCGATTTAGGTTTGCATATAATTAATCAGTTTTGAAATTTTTGAAAGAAGACTTAAGAAACCCACACATTGTTATATTATCAAGATATTGTCATATTTTACTCCTTTTCAACTGTATTAGTGTAAAATATATCTCTGTTGCCCTGGCCGGTTGTTCAGTGGTTAGAGCATCGGCTCAAAGGGTCTCCAGTTTGATTCCAGGTCAAGGGCTCATACATCCATTGCAGACTTGATCCCCAGCCCCAGTCAGGGTGCGAACAGGAGGCCACCAGTCGATGTGTGTCTCTCTCACATCACTGTTTCTCTCTCTCTGCCCCCTCCGCCCTCCTCTCTAAACAAAAACAAACAAAAACAGTGGAAACAATACCCTCAGGTGAGGATTACAAAAAAATGTGTCCCTGGTGAGGATGATTTGTCAAGTCGTTTTCATTGAAGCTGGTTAAAGCCTTGGCTCCCTTGGCGAGGGCTGTGTAAAATAACTGGTAACATCGTTCTGAAAATCCCGTTAGCATCTCACGCCTACCCAAATAAATATGCACTCATCTACCAACCCAAGGCCTAGGCAAGCAAAGCTTTACTTCCTCCTGAAGAGCTTCCCTGAAAGGCTTACTTGATCATGTATGAAACCTCATGAGACTTTGTAGGTACAGGACATGGCCCAGGAGGTGGAACGCTTCATGAGGGCGGGATTGCCACATTTATTTTACCCGCTCAGCGCTGACCTGTAAGTGCCCAGCCAATGTTGCGGCTGAATGGCCTTGTCGAAAATGGCTGGTTTCCCTTCAGCGGTTCCTGCTCACTTGTGATGAATGGATCTTGGAGCAGGATAACACGATGTCTGCCCAACACTCCATGAGAACAATGATCTTTAAATTTATAGTGGGAGTAAATGCATAATGATTTAATCTGTAGAAATTGCCGTTAGAGCCTTCCCTTCTGGATCACCGTTGACATTGAAGAGTGAGGCCTCCGTACTTTTAAATATTTACATAACTGTCACATAAAACCTTTCTGCACTTGGTGATTGCATTTAGCATTCATATAAAGTCTGACGTGCCGATCCATCATGGACTTGGTGTTCTCTGAGAGCTGGTACCTGCTTCTTTCACAGGCCGCTGGTTCACACGCCTGGGGCGGTGTGTTAGTAGCTTCACCTGTGCCTTCCTGGGCCCAGGCCTCCTGTGCCATCGGGACTAGCACACCCCTTTCTCCAGATGCACCAACGAAGCCTAGATTTCTTGCTCATCTGTAAACCGCTGTTATAATCAGTGGTGATTTCCACTGTGCCTCATCCACATATGCCTTTGCAATCTGAAAATGAATTCTGCTGGCATGTAAAAGGATTTTACTGGGGACTGAATTTTTTAACATCGGCCTTTTTCCTCTAAGGTTTTTATTTGATGCCGATATGTTTAAGAGAGTTTATCTTTTCGTTGTACTTCAGTTGCTTTTAGGAAGTAAATGTGTTTACTATTTATACGTAGGTTTTACGATCACAAAAAGACAAGAATTTACAAGCACATTTCTTACTTTTTCATAAATATAAAAATAATCTGTCGATAAGAAGTTGGAGTCTCAAAGATTAGAACAAGAAATTTAGGTCCTGTGACAGTCTAGTATTATCCTCACTCAGTAGCATGATAGGTACAGATTCAACTCTAATCCAGGAAGCTAGTCTTCTGTAAACCTGGGAAAGTAAATTATCTGTAATCGTTATCTGAGGAATGAATCTAGAAATACCTCTGCTGCATTTCATAAGGAAATGTGTGAAAGGTGTTACATTTCTCTCCAACGTTAGTCTCAAGAATTCAGAAAGGTCCTCGTTATCATACTCATGTACGGAAAGAGTATATCAATGAAAAATTGAAAGATATTTTGATTTTTGTTACTTTTCTCATGTTTGCGTTTCATTGTTGCTAAAAAAAAATCAATTTTTAAAAACGTGCATCTGAGTCACTGGTTATTTATTAAAATGTCAGACTTAGGAATATTATTATGTGACTCGTTCTGTCATTATAGGTATTCATCAAAGTCATAGACACAAATGACCATCGTCCTCAGTTCTCTACATCCAAGTATGAAGTCGTTATTCCCGAGGACACCGCGCCAGAAACAGAGATTTTGCAGATCAGTGCTGTGGATAAGGATGAGAAAAACAAACTCATCTACACCCTGCAGAGCAGCATCGATCCGCTGAGTCTCAAGAAGTTTCGTCTGGATCCTGCATCTGGCTCTCTCTACACTTCGGAGACACTGGATCACGAAGCCATTCACCAGCACGTCCTCACGGTCATGGTACGGCTCTCTGCCCATTCTCCGGCCACCCTGCAGTTCCTGAAGGGTTTATGCATTTGAGAGGGATTTTAAGTCAGGAAAATTCCAACGGGATTGATAATGCTGATTTTTTTCAGGTACGAGATCAAGATGTCCCTGTGAAGCGCAACTTTGCGAGGATCGTGGTGAATGTCAGTGACACAAATGACCACGCGCCCTGGTTCACGAGTTCCTCCTACGAAGGGCGGGTGTATGAATCCGCAGCTGTGGGCTCGGTGGTGCTGCAGGTCACGGCGCTGGA